AATCGATACTTGCGACAGCACAGCCGCCATCACCTCGCTCACCTCGGCGTCCACAGCCGGCTCGGCCTTGGTCGGAGCGGCCTCTTCCTCTGGCATAGTCTCCATGGGTATACCCTCTACTTTTGTAGCGTTCATGCTAGTCCCGGTTGGTTCTACCTCAGAGTTCAGTACCAGTATATCATTGTCTTTAGTTTTCTCAACAGCAACGGCTAAGTGAATGTCATTGCTGCAGTCATTTATTGCAGCGATGATTGAGGCATCGACAAACTTCGAAATTGTACTGCTCATCATAGCTTCAAGCATTGCTCGATCAGAATCACTCTTGAACAAGGGGGAAGCTAGGAGCTTGGCAGTACATTCTACAGCAGATGGAATCCCATTTGTTGCGGTGCGTTCTCCAAAAACTTGATTTTCACTGCCAGCATTTTCGACGCCATCACCAATGATTTGGGAGCTCTCAATTTCTCCATCACGATTATCTGTTGACTCATCCAGTTCTGGTTTCATTGAAACTGTCGCTACAAGTCCCTCAAGTGTACTCTCCACGGCAGCCTTCATCGCCTGAACCTCCATATCATCTGCAACCACTGCCTCCACCAAATCCTTCAACGCACCACTCAAAACACATTTCACTCCACGTTCCACTCGTTTCCGAGCTTGCATCCCACGTAATACCCGATTGATCATCGCAGCAGCTACAACGATCGTATTAAACCCTTTCACGCACAAATACCTCCGTATCTGCGCCTGAATTTCCGCTGCTGCTTTGTCTTTCCGGCTTCGTGCCATTCTCGCCAAGAACCCCCGCATAACTGACTGCAGCAACACCAAACGGATCTTCTTGATAGCATATTTCGCACGCTCATTGCGACAACGCCACGCACTTTGGATCTGTACCACCGAGGCAAGAGCCATTTTCTTGCGCGTCCGTGTAAGCCCGCCTCGCCAAACAGCTTGGGTCTGTCGAATCATTCGAAGTGTTTGTTCATACTGAGCTTTCTGATGATGCATGCGCAGTGTGCTCTGTATCCGGATCGCCGCGTTTTTCTTTCGTCTGACAACTCGAAGCCGCATAAGTGCTCGTTTCCACGATTTCTACGATAAAGAAACAGTGAGCTACTGTCAACAAGGCCAAAATATCTCTCATTTCTGCTCCGTACCTGAATTTTCACTGCAGCTCTCCGGCGAACACCGAACGTTCTCGCTTCCTCAAGGACGCGCTCTTTGTGAGTATTGTATTTCGCCCCCAACGAGTGAGAGTAGATTTTGTCTGGTACAGTCCGTAGATGTGAAGTCCTTGTGGCTCCAGGCGAGAGGGTCTGTCCAGATAATGCAGTTGGGGCCTCAGCTGTGGTAGTTGGCCGCTTGACGGTTCTTGCACGCGGTGATGATAATCTTGATGCTGACATTGAAGTGGTTGGCCGTCGAGACTTTGGCGGCATTGGACTAATATCTTCAGACTCGGGATGATGCCCTTCACGGGTCAATATTCGTCTTGTTCGAGGACTCGATACATCTCCTGGTGTATCAAGAGATGTCTTCTGTGAGCTCGGCGGTAATGGGCGTTTATTGCCAGTGTCTAACGTGGGACGAACGGGGGCCGTTGGTCGAGTACTCTGTGGTACAGTCACGGGTGCTGTAGCGGTCTTGGTGCTCCTGTGGAAAAGGAAATTCTCTCGCATTACCTTGTAGGTTTCCAGAATACGTAAGACCACAGGGTGTGTTTGTGGGAGGTAGTGAACGCCGACTTCCATGGCGCTTGCGAGTGCGTCGCGCGTTTGGTCAGGCATGTTTAAGTTCGCCCATTCGATGGCCAAGTTGTGCAATGTTGCAGCTTTCATTGTGTAAAACACCTCAGCAGCTTGTGGATTCTCGTTAGCTGATCGCTGAGACTCGGCCACTGTGAGGCACGCAGTGTACATGAAGCCAGCCTTGGCAGCTTCTTGCAATAATCCATGTAGGCAGGCTTGTAAGAAGTACGCGATAGGAAAACGATCACTGGATGCGAGCTTGTCGTTGATTCGCACAGCCTTCTCCGCTGCCTGTAGTGCCGCCTGGTATTTCTTTTGCTTCTTGTAGTAATTCGCCACATTCTGATAAACCGCAGCACGCTGAATATGCTTTTTACAATATTGGAGACCGTCCCGGGCAGTCAATTCCTCGGCTTTCTTGAGTAACTACGACGAAATGTTTGTCAACGTTGGTAAAGAATTTTTGAGTGTGTAGACGTACCAGAAATGCCGTATTATCTCCCCCTGCTGCCGTTTTCCGTGCTCCACACAAACAAAGCGCTACGAGTTGCACACAGCGAATCTCGTAGTCGATGCGTAGCCACTTCAGCTCATCCGTCATTACACCAGGTGCTTCCTCTCGCTTTTGCATACATCGAAGCTGAAATTTTGCAAAAAAAGAAAAAGCAAGTCAATTAAAGACAAGTACTTCGGTGTGCAATTACAACATACCAGCATTTTAGCTGCCTGCTCGTAGGTGTGCAAGGCATCCATGAAGCGATTGCTGCGTTCAAGTTGCACAGAGAGGTTGTCTGCGCGCTTAATATTCTCCATCACATTGCTGCCAAACATCGAAGCCTATCAAACATATCCTGTCAGATTTATTATCCTCATCTCCTTGCTTTCAGCATACTTACACTAATTTGTGCATATTGCATGCTATCTAGCGGAGGAGGTCGCACAATCTGCTGGTCGCCTGTACAGATTAAATTAAAACTTTTGTAAGTTTTATCATAACAGAGGCAACCATCATCGTTACCTTCATCGGGTGCGAGCCAGATACAACGTAGTTTCTTCTTGTCTCTCAGATCCAATGAACGCATTGAATCCAATCCTCCTCGTGCTGGAGCGACGGGACTCGTGAATAAATACTTGGGTGCTGGTGGAGCAGTTGTGGCACCCCACGCTACGTTTCTTGAAGATGCAGGGTCAGTGGACGCTCGTTCATCTGCAACTGAAGACCCTGCCACATCTGGAAGAGAGTCTGATGTCACGGGTTTCTCTAGACGCCGTCGCATCTCCAGGCTTCAACGCTGAGCAGGGGAACGCAAAATGAAGCGTTGGGCTCTTAGCAGTCGCCGGTTTCGCTGTCTGGGCTTGGCACTTGAATCCCCCTGCGAAACCAACATGACCAGCCAGTGCTTGTGCTACGAGCTTCCTAGAAAAACACTTTTCAATTAGTTAGTATAGTTAATGGGGCTAAAGTTACATCCTCTAGACACGGCCTGGTTCAATTCGCCAAAAGTTGATATCGTTGTACGCCTCATCAGCGAGACTCCGTGCACGCACTTGCGATGCAACCGCTTCCGATACCAGATGCTCTTCGTCCTCAATCATTGACACTCTAGACGTTGTGCTGAGGTTGCTTGGTACCGAGTGAAGTGTCGGTACAATAAGCTGCAAGCTATTCTGACGGGAGATTGGGACTTGTGTCGTTGGGGAGTAGATGGGCGGGAACATTGAGTCCATACGATCCAGTAGACTTGTGTAAGATTCATGGAATCCCATCAGTGACCGGTGTCGTAAACTACCGTCGGTAGGGTCCACAACGAACACTTTTCCTGAGAACACACCCACTTGAGTGAACACTACACTGTCGGTTTGCGTAGTGCCGAACGCCGCGTAGAACGGGTTTACTTCCCGCGGGAAGAGGGAACGCAGGGCACCCAATGCAGCGATCTTAAAGTCTTCCGCGTCAATCATCTCGTTGCTATAGGCTAGCAACCGATCAGGCGAAAGCAATACCGGTCCCATTGGAAGTGCAATTTCTCCATCCTCAGTGCTGTTGTGTAGTAGTGCGTGAATCAAATTGGCCTGTGATAGACCGAGACAAGTGACGTACACGACTCGATAGCCATTCCGTGCCAGCTTCGAGTAGAATTCTACTGCTCCTGGGTGCATTGCAGCTGGATCTCGGCGCTTAAACATGCGGCCAGTGGCTGCACTACTGGAAATGGCTCCATCGATCTGAGCGATGACCACTTTTGCCGTCACTGGCCACAGATACAACTTGGCCGTCACACGAGCCAATTCGCCCGAATCGTGCGATCGCAATACAAACGCGATGTCATTCATCCCCACACAGAGCCCCATATCAACTAACTCTTGTTGTGATGGCTTCAAGCTTTTCTTGAAGTACGGTTCACTCGTAATGCTGGCCGTATCTTGTGTCGACCCGCCATCGTCGCTTAAAACTTCGTGTAGAGGCTCCAATGTACGGCAGTGTGTCGAACGCGAAAGGCTAGAACCAGCAATATGGAGGTTTTCGTGAGTTTTCGATGCATTTTCCATTCTGGCGTCGAGTGTATCCTCCATTTTCACGTCGTTTAATGATGTACCAACGGGTAAATGCTGCGAGTACGGGAACAGAACGCGAGAGACTAGATATGCCTGCATCTTTTCATCGTACGATGATATTTTCCCACGCACGAAGAACCGCAAGTCCGGGTTGGACAAAATCTTGGTAGCGTTGGCACGGAAAAAGTCAAACGTGACAATATGTTCCGAGAAGATCTGATGCACTTCCTCCTCCGTCTCCGCTTCGTCCAGCAAATGGCCGCATAGGGACATCGATGGATGATCGTAATAGTCGACATCTTCAGCAGCTGCTGTGGTTTCGATATCCACTGCATCAAAATATACGGAGGCACTTTTAACCATACTCGGCAACTCATCGTCGGCTTCATCCTCAGGCCGCATACTCGGCAGGGCACCCCATCCCCACGTCAACCGATCGCTTGACTCATTTCTATTCACGTTGATCAGTTCCAGTGGCATTTCGTCGGTATTTCCCTCGTCTTCAGGTTTCAGAGGCCCAGAGGTAGCAAATGTGTCATTTTGCAATATTTCTTCAGCGTCGCCAATGCTGCTGAGTGGACTGGGCAAAGGAGAGGCCAGATAATCCTTCTCGTCAATGGGTTCCTGTACCTGGTGGACAAAATACGCCTCCCCAGCGGCGCCGAGTTTCATGCGCACGCCGTCCACGGCCTGGCCGTTCACCTCCAGTGTGACCTGCTGCTTGTCTTCGCGCTTAAACTTGCCGAAATGCACGTGGAACGGCGAGCAGCGCAGCGATCCGTCGGGCTGCTGCACCGCCACGACGTCGATGGCGCCCGAGCCAGAGTCCTGGTGGAACACGTTGCTCACATAGTCCTTGACCGAGTAGATGACGTTCATTCTCGACAAAAAGGCAACTTCAACTTTCGAGTGCAGAGTGAATGTGGCAGCAACGCGGCAGGATGCGGAATGGCAAAGAGTTGGTGGTTGGAGCAAGAAGGTTCCTGGTCAAAATTCAGTCGTGTGGTTGTAGTGTAGAGATTCGGCTCGATTCTCAGATGAACCGCCGGGTAACGATAAAATAAATGGCTTGTCAACCGAGATCCGATCGGCGTCTTTAGCGGCGTCCAGGCAAATGAATAAGTGAGCGTCGGGAGAGTCCTGCAACGATGACGGCGAATTGGCTAGTGGCAGCTGGTCGGGGCTTGGCTCACGCAAAAAACGCACAAATTTCGCATGCAAACCAAACCAGTTTTTGCCCAAATTCAATGTCATTCACCGAGATTCAAGGCAGCGTCACCAAGAGAGGAAGATGTCTATTACGGGCAGCGAGCTCGTACCAAATCTTGTCGACGTGAATGACTCATTCAATGAGGTCCACTCGTTGCCAACGTGGCACGGCAACTGTTGTTTCAGCCTGAACTCCGACTTCCTAGTTTTAGCGGCGTATCATACACTTTTTCGTCAGTGAACTCGCCCTAAAAATACTCGATCCCAGGATAAATTTGTCTGCGTGTTCGGGAGGCCAATGCGATGTGCACTCATTTCATCAGGTGGCCGACCGATGACACGGTGCAGAAGAGAACGAGGCGCTCCCTCTGCGCCGAAACACGCCTCCGTTCGACAGCGACGACAAGACGCAGACTGTCAGAAGAGTATCCGTGCTGTCTGTCCATCGTGTGTACGCTGCTTGGTTCTGCAAGTCCCGCATTGGCTTAGTGACGTAACGATGATTGAGTGGACGACGCTGCACGTAGCACCGCAGGACAGGCGTCACGGATGTCGTCAAACCGGACCGGCTTGCATTGTTTTCCTACGAAACCGCGACCGTTGTCAGATTTCATAATATAGTGAAGTCGTGGATGGAGCTGAATGCGAGCAACCTCGTACCGAGCTTCATTGTTGCTCAAAATCAACAGATTTGACGCTACTTTGAAGTTGCTGTTTGTCGAGAAAGCAAGGACGAGAACAACAATTTCGTAATGGGATGTGCCATTTCATAGATTCCCTAATGTACTGAGCCTCTTCAACCAGTGTCTCCCGATGACCTGAGCTTGAACCAGGTTCGTAGCATCAGCTGAGCCTTTTCCTCCGACGTCATCATCGCCCTCTTTATAGAGGGGTGGCATCGTGCAGCCCTCGTCGCTCTTCCTCGAACTCGAGCATGCTCTGCGATCTCGTTTCCTCCACGCTCTTGGCGTGGTTATACGATCGCTTGATCAGCGTAATATCCGGCGGCACATAAGATCCTGCTTCGCCACTGGCAACAGCTTTTGGTGGCACGCACGGCACAAACTCAAAGTACGACGCGTCCCCGCGAAGGCTCACGTCTACCAGCAAACCGTCGTCGCGAGTTCCAATATACCTGCGGTGCTGGTTCATACTATTCAAGTGACCACCGGACGAGTATTCCCATCGCATGCCGGACGTTCCGCGCAGACAGTTGGCCTTCTTCATTCGTAAATCTCGGAAGCACGAGAACGTCGAGCGGCTGAACATGTAGCGACCCGATTCTTCATGGTAGAATGCCACCTTTACGCAGTTGTATTGCTTTGAATAACATTCGAGTCGGAAGGCTGTGCGTCCACACGTCTCCGGGTTATCCCCCTGGGGGACAACGTCCACGTGAAGTCCGTCGTCCATTATCCGGGCGTACTTGTTGCCTTGAACACGCAAATACACTTTCGATCCTGATAATCTGAGCACATTATTCACCACTGTACGCGATACTGCCTTGATTTCTTCAATCTCCTTCTCCATAGCATCCACGTCCTCCTTCGTAACTCGCTTCTCGAATGGCACACGGCCACTGACTTTGGTAAGTATCTGTTTGGACCACTGCTGTCCGGTCTTACACCAATGTGCAGCGTGCTCGCAGTTCTGAGTGAAGATATTGAAGTCGCCCTTGCCTAGGCCAAGAAGAAATTTGCACCGTGCCAATACGACTTCAGGCAGATCCGATTTGCCTCGATGCACTTCGCCCCACTTGGATAGAAAATCTCGGAACGCCGATGTGTGATATTCCACGAGACGAAGGTCGCTCAGACTGCGGTTGTACAGGAATTCCTCGAGTGTGGAGATGCGGAAGCACGAGTCCGCTTGAGCTTCCTTGTATCCTTGCAGCGGACTCCATACGTGGCATACACGGATGTCCTCGGGCCGGTCACTCGAGGCCCACACGATGCCGTGGTGCTGGTACGAAAACGGCCAGCGACTGTAGTCCCAGATGCAGATGTGGTCACCCGGACGCAGCGACGAGATGTTCTGAACACGCGTGTACACGCCGCCCATGGTTTTGTAGCCCCGATCTGCGCTCGTGCTCGCAAATTCTTGTCTGCCGCTGGTGGTGTCGATAGTCCCGCGCGGAAACGGAAGGGATTGGACAACTTGCCGAGTAAGTACACCTGTCGCAGAGGCCAGATTTTGCTAGAGAGGAATCGACACGAGGAATGCACTACGCAAATACTCGATAAACTCCGGAATAAGGTCCAAAAGTGAGTGGCAAGTGCACAGTAAGCGGAAGAATGGTCAAGTGGATATTATTTGTGCTTTGTCTGCTGCATGAACGATATGAATCTCTCGAAATAGCAACTGACAACCGAGTGCGAGCTGACGATCGATGTCTCGACGTGCTTGGCGTCGTTGACAACGACTCGCGTTGCATCCGTCCGATAGCGTTGGGTTGAGTCAACCGCGCACAGGATAGCCAGGAACGCGAGTATTTTGTCGGCAGCTCACGTCACACGCCTGTCCTCGTTGCGGGTAATCGACGTCTTCAAGAAGGAGGCTGCGAACTCGACGTGACGGGGCCAGTTTGCATGTTGATGAAATCTTTTGCCGATTTTGAGAGCCATTAGAGAGGAGTTTCCGTTAGTTGGACTTGTCCAGGTCAAGCGAGGGTGGTAAATTTTGGCAATAGTTGGTGGCCGATTGAAAACTCGGCGGGCTAATCCATTCCAAACGTGGACTATTTCGGCTGAGAAGCTGTCCATCCAGAACAATGTGCGGCCATGAAGACCATTGTGCTCGGCGCAGTCATTTGTCAAAGTGCTCGTCGCTGCGGCAGATTTGATCGCTTCAACGTGAGTTTTCAGGGCAAGAACGTCAAGTTTTCGAAGCTGGTCCTCGAACGGAATATTCCCGTGTCCTGGTGTGAGAGTTTGCGAGCACCATTGACGACCAGTCTTGCACCAACGCGCAGCATGCTCGCAGTTCTGTGTGATCGGGTGGTAGTCGCCACGTCCGTGGCCAAGCAGCAATCTACAGCAAGATGTCAGGTCGGTCGGCCTTGCACCAGAACAGCTTGGTGCCATCATACTCGACAACTCGTAACTCGTCGACACTGCGGTGGTAAATGAACTGCTTCAGCGTCGATACTCGGAAGTTCGAGTCGCTTTGCGCCTGTCGAAAGCCTTCCAGCGGCGTCCACACGTGACAAACTGGGATATCTTCAACAGTGTCGCTGGATTTCCAAACAATACCGTGGTGCTGGTACGAAAATGGCCAGTGCGTGCGGTCCCGAATGAAAACGTGGTCTCCGGGACGCAGCGCTTCGATTTCCACCGCACGCGAGTTTGCATTACCCATAACAGCGGAAGAATAAATGCTGAGATGCCTAGAAACTTAAAAAAAAAAAAAAAAAGAAGGTGGCAATCAAGCGCGTTTCTTCAAGTCGGATGCAAGATTACTCCCGTCATCGACCGTATCCATCATCGACACAAAAATGATGTCTTGATGATAACAGGCCGCTGAGTTTCGGTGGGATTGAATCTGCGTAATCGAATATGGAAGACAGGTTTCTTCGAGAACAGATTAAATAACTTCATGAACCTTGCATTCATTTTACTCCATGCAACGATCTGCTATCGATCGGCAAGACGACGAGTTCGAAGCTCTGTCGATAAATTAAGGAGAGCAGCTTGGTTCTCCACCACTGGTTGAATACAATCTGGTGCCCATGCCAGACGCTCAGTACAAAGCTACATGCTAAAACTACAAGTCTGCCGTGTTGTAGCGCACGTGCTGTGTAGAACAGAATTCCTGGTCACCAACCTGTACGAAGAGGTTAGGCCGGGACTGTATCTCTCGGTAGCCGTGGAAAAACGCCACGCTTTCACAGGTGACCACGTTTCAAAGCGCGACAATACCCGCTCGACTTCGGTCTCGTTCGAAGGAGGACGAGTCCTGATGATTCTGAAATCCATCATACAGACTCGACGAGAGTTGGCAGCGCTGCCACTGCTGCTGCTCGTTCCGTCGTGGGGGTCGTAGTGGAGGATGTGGGCGACGACTTAGTGAGCTCGGCCGCCTTATAGTCCCGCATGCTCTGCGATTCTGTGTACTGGATGGACTTTTCGTGGTTGTACGTACGCGTAACCTGGTGAATATCCGGTGGCGTGTAGGCCTCAGCAGCACCTTCACAGGCCACAAACTCGACGCGTACGGCGTCTCCACGCATACTCACATCCAGCAGCAAACCGTCGTCCCGTGCACCCACGTACCGTCTGTGCTGGTTCATACTGCGAAGATATCCCAGCGAGGAATATTCCCACGTCAGTCCTGACTTGCCACGGACACCCAGGGGCTCCTTCATCCGTAAATCACGGAAGCAGCTTAGCGTTGAACGACTGAACATGTAGCAGCCCGTGTCTTCATGGAAGAAGCGCACGCGAATGCTGTTGTATCCTCTGGCGTAGCATTCAAGGCGAAAGGCCGTCCGTCCGCACGTTGTCGGGTCGTCTCCTTGCGGCACGATGCCAACAGTTCCATCCGCCTGTACCTGCACGTAGTGATTGCCCTTAACTCTCAGAAACACGTTGGAGCCTGAGAGTTTGAGCACGTTACTGACTACACAGCGTGAGATCTCCTTGATCTCCTCCACTTGCTTTACGAGCGCGTCCACGTCCTCCTTCACGAGTCGTTTCTCGAATGGTACACGGCCTTTTACCTTGGTAAGTGTCTGTTTACACCACTGCTCGCCAGTCATGCACCAATGCGCCGCGTGCTCGCAATTCTGTGTGAAAATATTAAAGTCTCCTCGTCCCAGGCCTAGTAGAAACTTGCAGCGCGCTAAGACAACCTCAGGTAAATCGGCTTTGCTGAGATGCACTTCGCCCCATCTTGACAGCACTTCTCGCAACCCGGACGTGTGGTATTCAACGAGGCGAAGGTGTTTCTGCTTGCGGTTATCCAGGAATTCCTCGAGTGTTGAGATGCGAAAACACGAGTCGGCCTGTGCTTCCTGGAAACCCTCGAGTGGACTCCATACGTGACACACGCGGATATCAGCGGCTGTAGCACCTGAAGCCCATACGATGCCGTGGTGCTGGTATGAAATGGGCCAGCGACTGAAGTCCCAGATACACACGTGATCGCCCGGCCGCAGCGACGCCACGTTCAGCACACGAGTGTATACGCCGCCCATACCGGTCGATTGATTGCTCTGTTCACGGACGAGTTGATGCGCCCTGGAGCAGAGATTAAAAAAAATGGAAATGCGATGGTCAACAGGTTGAGACCACTGAATGCACTCCAACGGCGTCCTTGCGACTGTAGGGGAAAGCGAAAGTGACAGCGATGCACTAAAATGCGGATGGTGCTGTTGTCTGACTTGCTAGTGTGGCACACAACGGAGAGATGTTTGGCATAATACTGCCAGATAGAATGTCTGTCTAAGTACTTCTTTTCCTCAAATTGTCCATAATGGGATTACTTAATCGAATAAACCTACATGACGGCATCTGATCTTGGAAGTCCACAAATGTGTACCTGAGGACGAGGGGCTGCGACTTGTCACAGATCCTCTTACAAATGCCAAGTCATTGTTGCACACTCATACAAAACCTGTGCACACTTCAACGCGTGAGGCGGGAGTCCCGCACCTCCAGTCCTATCAGCTACGGCTACGTTTCCGGTGACGGCCTTGGTCAAGCAAACCACATGCTGCATGACATGCACTTTGTTGTCGCTCACTACATTCGCGAATCGCGAAAATGTGGCTGTCTCACAGATGCCGCCGTTTCAGTATCTGACCTTTTCTAGTAATAGAATGCCGATCCCAAACACGATGAATCTGCCAAATAACACCAAGTGGTAGCAGTCGGGTACAGTGTACTTAAGCTGTGATCAAAAATAATATTATAGTACACTTCTAAATAAACTTCCAGAACTTTTGCCATGCTCGAAGCGAAAACGAAATAGATTCGCATCGTACACACTTCATGCACATCGCAACTTGCTGGCGTAGGAATTTTTAGATTCAGCCATAATCTAATGCAAGCTTAGCCTACATCTTCAAAAGATCTCGTTGCCTGTCGGTTTGAGATGTTCCTCGCAACATGCATTAGGGAGCTTTTAAACAACATCCTTACTTATTGATACAACCTACTTCGTAGTATTAGCAATTCTTTTATTACTACTTTATCTGAAAATTACTACATGTTCGTCTCAAACAATAAGTACTATTTTGAAAGTAGCTAAAAATAAAGTTTTATATTTCATGTGTGACACATCACTGTGGTGTTTTTTACACCAATCTCCCTTATCAGAGCTGAAGCTGTCGCACATACACTCGCTCTCTTCTCAGGTCTATCGATCCATCGACAACGAGATGCCGGCGTATCACTCCACTCTCAACGAGTTGCAGACGCAGGAGGCGTGCGGCTGCGCCATCCTTCCTATTAAGACGCGAGCACGAGGGCCAGCTCCCCCTGCTCCCGAGGGACAAGACGACATTGTGGACGAGATCCTCACGCTCTTCCGTGCCAACGTGTTATTCACCAACTTTGAGATCAAGGGCAATGCCGACCGCGTGCTCATCTACGGCACACTCTTCGTGCACCTTTGCCTTAAGAAGCTGGACCGATGCACCAACAAGTCGGACGGTAAGTGTCCCGAGTCGCAGGCTTATCACGACTTGAACTGACGAAAGTGTACTATGCACTTCTGTACTATTGCTTTACCAGCCACGCGCATTCTGCAGCAAACGGCAGTGGATACATTCGCCATCCCCGGTGACTCGAGCTTTCCGCTAGGAGGACTGGTGCGCGCGCCGTCGAGCGCAAATGAAGCAGGTAAGTGTATGTGCATGTTATTACACAGTTCGTTTGAAGTTGACGGGTCTGCTCTTGCTCTTGTCTTTGCAGAAACTATTCGCGGATTTTTCAAACAGCTACGCGAAGCAATCGCTTTCCGCCTGGTGGACGAGGTGTTCCCGAATGGAGAGAAGAGCAAGTGGTGGATGCTCTTCGCCAAGCGAAAGTTCATGAACAAGGAGTTGTCGCGTTAGAACGTTGTCGGCGAAGACGCTACTGCCGAACTGCTATCCCCAAACTAATACAGAAAACAATAATGCGCTGGGGAAGTTGTAGGTTCAACGGTCAGAGCAGCCAACGGTGAGCAAGGAACCATGTCTTGCCATTCTGAAGTGGAAAATTTGCTGACCAAATTAAGACAATACAGACTTCCTTGCTTGCTCCTTCTCTCTCATGTTGATTTTATCACGTATATGTATGCATCTCTCCGGTTTTGTCCTCTCCGTCACGCTTACGCAAAGGTGGCCGCCATTTCGGAGAAGCCCCGGTCCAACAACACGTAGTTCTCGAGCCACGAACTTGCCGGCGCGACCTGTTGCAGCTGCACAATGTACTGGTGCGTGGGTTTGCTCAGGTGCGCACTGACCGCAATCAGGTTGATCAGCGTGTCCTCGTTGCTAGGGTCCTTCTGGATGGCTTCAAGCAGCAGTCGCTCGGCCTCCACGTAGTTCTTGAGCGCCATGAAGGCCGCCGCCGCGCCGTTCAGCAGAAGTGGCGTAGAGCCGAACCTGTCCGCCAGTTCCTGGAAGTGCAGCGTGGCCTCGTCAGCCTTGTCACCGCCCTGCAACGTCAGACACCAGGCCTGTGCCAGCTGCGTCAGCGTCGAGTCCTCCTCGATGCGCTTCATCTCCTGCACCGTCTTCTGAGCCAGGTCCAGTCGGTCCATCTGCAGGTACAAGTGTACAATGTACAGCATGTGCTCGAGCGAGCCGCCACGGGTCAGCGCCGACAGCGCGTCCGAGAGTTTGCCCTCGCGTGCGTAGATCTGGCCTGCGATTAGCAGCAAATGTGCGTTCTCACCGCTCGTGGGGTCAGCCAGCCACTCCTTGAGCGTCAGGTCGATCATTTCCTTATCGATCTGGCCGCTAAGGTACGTAGCCCAGAGCTTCACGGCGCTCAACGCAATCGGCGTGTTGCCAGCGTCCGGGATACTCTGGAGCACGAGGGGAAAGTTGCCCAGCGCTAATTGCGCGCGGTACACGTACACATCGCGCTCGTTGCGCAGCGCCTCGCCTACGTGGTTAAGCATGGTACCCTCGCTCAGCGCGTTCTGGTAGTTGCCCACCCAGAGCTGGTTCTTTAGCGTGAAGAGCTCGTCCGGTTCGGCCATATCTGCTACTAGGAGATCGTGTGTTGTTGTTGTATGGAAAACTGTATGAGGGGGCTGAAGTTGGATTTTCGCCACGTAGGCACAAAATAGTGACAGGTCGCAATTGTGAAGAAAGGGTGGACCAATGCGGACCATTTTTAGGAAGTTGAAGCTGATAAAATGCCTTCACCATTGAACGTTGTTTGTCTCCTTTGTACAGGACAGAATTACTCTACTCGACACAGCGCTAGGCAAATGCAGCTCGGCGTGCGCTCCAATCGAAGAGGTTATTATCAGGCTCACTGCTCCACTCCTGTGTATCATAAAGCGTTGGGTAAGATTCAATCAGACTCGCCATTGACAAGCTCTGCAGAGCTTATGCTTTCGCTGTTGACGCTGCGGCACACTCACCGGTACAAGCGGGCCCATTTCTTCATCACTGTAGTCCCAGCAAATACTTTTGGTCATGGTTGTCGGAGCTGCTAGCGCCAATAACAGCACGAGTGCACGTGCTAGCTGTCCCATTATAGGCGTCAGCAGTCTGAACGAGTGAGCACGGAGTATGCGCCATCTAAACCTGCGGCGGCAGATTCGCGACTGATACAGCGATGAGCTCAGCTTGTTGATGTGAGCGTCTCCAGCCATTCGTTGTCGTCAGATCCCCACTTCACGACTGCCCCTCGATAAGCCGTTAAAGGCCGCTTCAACGTGAATGCCGACGAGACGCATGTTAGGCCGCCTAACTCAGGCGTGCATTGCTGCCGATCCGTGGTGATCAAGTTGACGCCAAGGCTCTTGAAGAGCAGACCGCTTCAACGTGAAGTGCCGACGAGTCGCATGTTGAAGTGGTCACTGTGCACGTCATCGAGTCTGCAAGGCCGATGCAATCAGCGATCGGCGTCCCGCAAATCCACGCCATAGCCTCGTCTCTATTCTGCGCCTGAGTACAACGTGCCTGGATTCATCGCCATTTGCGAGTTCGGCAGAATGTCCACAGTCGTCGGGGAGCTTAAGAATGCGGCGTGCGGGCGCACGGCAGCCTGGCCCGACAATAACGCACGACCAGAACTTCGTACGCTACGTGGTCGTACATTACGGCATGTTCAGCTCTGGATCCTCTACGGTCTCTGGGTCGTCGGCTTGGGTTTCTTCATCGCGATGTCGATTTTCTCTGTCTTATGCGTGGCTAGATGGGGTTGGATGACCACCGTGAATACCGACGCAACGCCGTTGCCATACACCGTCAAGCTCTATCTATGCGGCCTTGCGATGCACGAGAGCTACTACTACCTGACACCTCCCTCGCTCCACTCGTGGCCGTTCATGCGCCGTATCATGCGCTACATCTTCTTGCACTACCCGTACTTCCGTCTCAACGTAACGATCTTCGAAGAGCGCCTGGAAGCCGAGAGAAAGCTGAATGTAAGCGAAGCAGAGGCAGCTAGCAAGGCAATCGAGGTGAATGACTGTACGCCGTTCGTCAAGCCTAACGACCGCTCCATGTTCGCTTTCCACCCTCATGGCGTGCTTTCCAATGGCTTCGCCATTAATGGTGCTCACCACATGACCTTCGAGCGTGCAGACTGTCGATGGCTCGTAGCGGAGAACCTCTTCTGGTTCCCCGTGCTGCGTGAGGTTTTGAACTGGATGGACTTCAGCAGCGTGGCCAAAGCTACTTTCCAGTGTATCATGCCAACGGGGCAGAACGTGGGTCTCATTCCTGGCGGGTTCGAAGAGGCCACACTTTATCGGCGAGGCAAACACCGCGTGTACATCAAGAAGCGTCTCGGCTTCATCAAGATGGCGCTACAGTATGGATACAAGGTGCACCCGGTCTACACGTTTGGTGAGGAATACGCCTACCACACGTTTCCGAGTTTGTTGAAACTTCGTCTCAAACTGAACGAGTTCAAGCTGCCTGGTGTGGTTTTCTTCGGTCGATTCAACTGTTGCTACCTGCCCCGACCTGACGTTGACCTCATTACAGTCATTGGTAAACCTTTGATTCTACCGCAGATTGAAAATCCGACGAGGGAAGATGTACGAAAGTATCATGACCAGTACATCGAGGCGCTTCAAGGGCTATTTGACAGATACAAAGGCGTGTACGCCGTTGATCCGAGTGCCAAACTTGACATTTTCTAAACAACCAGTAATGAAAGTATACTTTTTTTTGTTAACGCTAACAGAACATTTGATCCAGCTCATAAGTTGCGATGTGTGCACGTTGCTGTGGCTTATGCAAATTCCGCTGGACGTGAGCTGCGCTTCTCGGAAGCTGAAGGTCCACCCCATTCCTACAAATCAACAAGGTTAGAAAATAATACCTTGCACAGGATTGATATAGAAACTCACCGGCACAATGGGGCCTACGTCTTCGGTATTGTATTCCCAGCTGATGTTCTTGGACATACTCGGCGCTAGAAAGCCCAGTAGAAGCACGAACATCCGTGCAAATTGCCCTAGCAGAGCGTCTCCCATTCGGACAATCGGGTGGAGTAAGGGTGAGAAGGTCATTCTGGCGGTGTTGAAGCAAATTGGGAAGTGAAGCTACCCAGTGAAGGGTTCCTGCTCTGGGTCCCTTGGCTGGGTCCCTTGGCTGGGCTGCTTCAAATCTAAGGATGTGAATCAACAAGATACTTGTTTACAGCTTCTGTTGAATTGAAGTGCATACAGATACGTGTTCTGCATAACCGCAATGACTCACGCAATACGCAGGTTGCGGACGACAAAAAAAAAAAAAAAATGGAAATGCATAGAGAATTCAACGGAAAAACTGTTTGAGCGATATGGGATAGTTGGCTGTTATTCGATGCGACTGCAGTGTCAGATCCTGCCGCAAGAGTCGAGTGTGCTCATGAATTGCTTTCGTGAGTTACGAATCGTATCCTCCGATACAAAAGCTGGGTGAATCGAGAAGCCTTTCTCGCCTGGGGACGGACCGCTCCACTCCTTGCCACCAGAAAATGATAAGAAAATAACATTTTTTGAGATGTGAATAACGCACATTGAATAGACCACGTGCTCACCGGTACAATGGGTCCCACTTCTTCATCGTTGTAGTCCCAGGTAATGCTCGTCGACAGCGTTGGCGCAATAACAGTAACAACCCGGATCAAACCCCGCACGAGTTGCCCAAGTAGAGCATCCGCGGATTCAACCATGGAACAAGGCAAGAATGAGCACATCATGACGGTTATTGATCGATGAGAATTTGGAAATGCTCTTCGCGTTTGGTTGCCGACTAACGCAGCGGGACTCTCCTCCACACGTCTTCACTTTTGTTTTTTTACAATCCCAATTTGAAGATCACGTTGAAGCTGAATGCGTCATACAAGATTGGGCAAAGATGACATAACCGTAATACAGCGAACCGAAATTGCTGTCTTGACTCACGCAATCTCAAGATGCAGGGCTCGAACAGTTTTACTAGTATCCCCAAGCACTTCACTGATAATGAGAATAAATATCGGCGCCATGCGTAATTCACCTAAGCCGAGCCCCACGCAAGCACTAGGCACTGAAACATTTGGATCTCAACCAGCATGGTCGAGTCGATCCTTCACAGCGTCATTCGCTAAAGTGACGTGATGTCGGCAGTCCAAGAGCTCAATAACGCTGCTTACAGTCGCACACCGGCGTGGCCCGACTCGAATACTTGTCCCGATCTGCAGACACTGCGTGGACGCTTTCTGCGGCGGCTTCATCTTTTTCTTCTCTATGGTCTCTGGGTAGTTGGAATTGGCTTTTTCATAGTGATGTGGAGTTTCTCGCTCATCTGTATAGTTCACTGGGTATGGAATACTCTCGTAAGTGCAGATGCTACTCCGATTCCACGAGCCGCGCAGGTTTTTCTCGGTCTCATCGCACTTCATGAGAGCTACCATTTCGTGACTCGGCCTTCGCTTCACCGGTGGCCGTTCATGAGGAACTTGATTCGCTACTCGTTCCTGAAGTACCCGTACTTCCGTCTAAATGTCACGGTTTTCGACGAGCGTGAGAAGGCCAAGCCATTGGGTGGTGATGGCGCTACTATTGATACAGAGATCGACATGGAGATCGCTAGCAAGACCGTAGTAGAGAACGATGTTTCACCATTCGTGAAACCCAACGACCGCGCCATGTGTGCTTTTCACCCGCATGGCGTTCTCTCCAACGGCTGGGCGTTCAATGGCGCACATCACATGAGTTTCGAGCGAGCTGACTGTCGATGGCTCGTAGCTGAAAACCTCTTCTGGTTCCCCGTTATGAGAGACTTACTAAACTGGATGGACTTTAGCAGCGTTGCCAAATCGACCTTCCATCGATTCATGCCTACTGGCCAGAACGTGTGTTTAATCCCTGGAGGATTCGAGGAGGCAACACTCTACGAGCGAGGCAAACATCGTGTGTACATCAAGAAACGCTTTGGATTCATCAAATTGGCCTTGCAACACGGATACAAGGTGCATCCAGTGTACACGTTCGGCGAGGAGTATGCTTATCATACTTTCCCGTATCTACTTAACTTTCGTCTTAAACTGAACGAGTTCAAGATACCGGGGGTGCTCTTCTTCGGTCTACCGCAATGCTTCTTTCTGCCTTGCACCGATGTGGATCTCATCACCGTCGTAGGAGAAGCACTGATATTGCCCCGTATCGAACATCCGGCCAAGGAAGACGTGCAGAAGTATCATTCCAAGTACGTGGAGGCACTTCAAAAGTTGTTTGACAAGTACAAGTCGGTTTACGCCGTCGATCCGGACGCCAAGCTGGAAATTTACTAAGATTTGATCTTGGTAGACAGTATTGGCAATCAACGGCGAGTGCCTTACTAACCGATAATTCTCAGTATATCTTGGATGCCTATGAATTGCTGGCAATTCTAAACGAAAAGTAGAGGACACGAGAATGCCTTTGAACAGCCCCTCAATCTTAGTTATAAGTACTCGAGACTGAGAATGACCTTGAGTACTATACTTTTCGTTAATCATTGTTCAAGAGATAAGTGCATTCCTGTCTAGTAAATTTCGAGAGTAGCTTCTGGGTCGACTGCATACACGCCCTTGTACCGATCAAATAGCTCTTGTAATGCGGTCACATACTTCCCATGGTACTCCCTTATGACTTTCTTGGTTGGATGTTCGATTCGTGGAAGTATTAACGGTTTACCAACTACGGTAATGAGATCGACGTCCGTTCGTGGTAGATAGAAGCACTCTGGACGGCCGAAGAAGAGCACACCAGGCATTTTGAACTCGTTCAATTTAAGGCGGAATTTCACCAAATACGGAAAGATATGGTAGGCGTACTCTTCACCAAAAGTGTAGACTGGATGCACCTTGTATCCATACTGCAGCGCAAGTTTGATAAAACCATAGCGCTGCTTGATGTACACACGATGTTTACCTCGTTCATACAGTGTAGCCTCCTCGAACCCACCTGGCATTAAACACACATTCTGTCCACTTCGAAGCACCTTCTTACATGAGCCCTTGGCAGCGCTGGTGAAATCCATCCAGTTGACCAGCTCGCGCATGATAGGGAAGTAGAACAAACTCCCCGCTACCAGCCAGCGACAGTCAGCTTGCTCGAAGCTCATGTGGTGTACGCCTCCGAACGACCAACCGCACGAGAGTACACCGTGTGGATGGAAGGCAAACAGCGCGTGGTCATTTGGAGGAGCAATGGGTGTCACCTCATAATTCTCCACTGCTTTACAAGCAGCAGATTCCACTCGCTCTTCGAATACGGTCACGTTTAAACGGAAATACGGGTAATTAGTGAACATGCGGCGCATCAGCCGCCGCATCCACGGCCATTGGTGACGCGACGGTCTCGTAGCGTAATAGTATCCCTCGTACACCGCTAAGAAGCTTAGATAGAGCTGCACGTATCGAGGAATCGGTGTCTCTGCTTGTGTCATAACCCATCGTGCAATGCTCCATATCGACAACCACCAGAGCACAATGAACCCCGCGATGCCGAACACCCACACGCCGCAGATGAACCACAATAATAACACACGCAGTACCCGCCCTCGGAGACTCTTAAGCTTCGGTCTGACGTCGTTGTTGCCCCACGCTGCCGTCCGCCCTGCTGCAGCATTTCTCACCTCCATGATCTGATAACGGCAACTTGTGTGCAAAGTAACTGACCACCATCCGCTGCCTCTGATTCGTCGAAACAAGTGACATATCTGCCAATCCTGGATGGTACATGTACCATAAAGGTGGTACACAGGAATCCAGAAGACGTCATTCTCAGTTTCAAAACACCATGGAGCGCTCGCACTCTGCTCGAGTGACACAGCTGGGCGAGCTGGTGACGGGCCGCCGCTACCTGTTGCTCACAGTATTAGCCACGGGCATCGCCGCTGCAAGCGCAGCGCAGCGGCTGCGCAACCTCCCTCCCTCGGAGTCTCTGTCGTCCGCGACACAGCTCTTCGTCGCAGAGCTCATGAGCTCGCGCATCAGTGCGATGGTACGTTCCCGTATTTTGACAAAACTGACCATCACTCTTGGCTTTGATCTGATTCTGCTGTGCTTCAATGTCGTAATCAGATCGTGCTACACTTCCTCCTGGTGGCCATGTACCATGCCTTCCTGCTACTGGCGCGTGCGGCGTTGGGTGCGCTGCGGCCGCTGGAACTGCAGCTGACGAAGGAAACGCTCATCCCATTTGTCCTGCTGCGTTGCCAGCTGCTGGTGAGCACGATGGAGCCTGGTGGGCAGCGAATGGAGATAGGGATGCTCGTGGTGTGGCTCGCTGCGTTGGCAGTGCTTCGCGCGCTGTTGGCGTTGACCCAAGCGAGGTTCCAGCACCTCCTGACTCGGCCCATGACGCAGCTGGGGGACTTGCAGCGCCTTGGAGCAGTATTGGGCGGTGTTATCTTGCTGAATCTTGGGCTAGCGGCGACGTGTTCGCGTCTAAGCCTCTTTTCGGATAGAATCGTACACGTGCCGTGGTTTGAGGCGTCACTTATGCTGCTGAAGACGCTGGAACTAGGTGTACAGGTCGGTTTCCAGAGTCTCGACGTGCGTGCAGCTTCTTTCTCGGAGGAAGACGACTCTGGACCGGGATACTCGGAGAACAGCGAGTTCCACTTGCTCCTGCTACAGACTGTGTTATCTGGCTGCTACTTGGTGCAGCTGGTGTTGTATTATCTCTATGTTATCAGCGTTGACCAGTTCCGAGTGAGTCTCTTTGATCTGATCCTGATCCTCAACGTGAAGAACGCGACAGTGCGGCTGCTAGACAAGATCAAGCATGTGAAGTTGTATCACCAGGTGGTGCTGGATCTGGATCACCTGTTCCCTGACGCTACATCTGACGAGCTGGAGAGCGTGGCCGACGATGTGTGCGCGATCTGCTTGAAGTCAATGCCTACACAAGCCAAGAAGCTGCGCTGTGGCCACCTTTTCCATCGACTATGTCTGCGTCAATGCCTTCAGAAGGCGTCGGTGAGCGATGCTATTGCAGGACTGGACCCGTTGACGCGCATGGCCAATGGTCTGGGTATGGAAGGTCCGCTACCACCTGCTGCGGGTGGTTCCAGTAGTAGCTCAACTTCCATGCGCTGTCCGATTTGCCGTAAGCAAGTGTGCGGTGGAAAATGTGATGAAATGACTTCTGTTGAGCCCGAGCAGCACCACACTCGCCAGCCTGAAGCGGAAGCAGCGGAGACTCCACAAGCCGGACAGCAACTCGCCATTCCACAACAACAACCACAGGCGCAACCAGCTGCAGGTCCAGGTGCTGCCGCTCCCGAGGAAGTGCTTCGCTTCAGCAGTACGTCTACTGTTACTGCTGTGGTATTAGTGTTCTTGATGATGGTTAGCTGACATTTTGCTGTGCTTACAGCGGCGTTCCTGTCACGGTGGGTGCCATTCCCGAACTTCTCATTCGAGATCGTCCGACATCGCGGTGTGCGCAACTTCGAGGTGACGCAGGAAATGCTTCAACAGATCTGGGAGGTCTTCCCTCAGTATACTCCAGAGGAGATTCGAGCGGATCTTACTCGCACGAGATCGGTTGAACGCACGATGGAGCGGATTCTAAACGGACGGTTGGACGAACAGCGGCTGGCGATGGAACAGCGCAACACAGATCGTGCGGACATGGATGCAGGCGGTGTACTCGGTGATGCCGTTATTGATCTGGGCGAGGATTTTCGATGGAGCCTCTCGACATTAGCGTCAGCATTGTGGGGTTCCAACGTTCAAGCACGAGCACCTACACCAGTGACAGAAGCTGCCTCTGCGTTGCCTCGTCAGCAAGCTACCAATGTTGCTCCTGTTGATGAAAACCTACGTCATGAACGTGGCGAAGCTGAAAGAGAGCCGCTGTTGCATCGGCTAGAGCGTTGGCGTGGTCAACGACCAGCATAAGACTATTTCGTTTCATGACATTTTCATGCTGATGCAGTATCAACGTCGGCTTTATTTTGGATTATTGATGAAGACGATGCTCAGTAAATCTCCAGCTCAACATTCGGATCGACGGCGTACACGGACTTGTACTTGTTGAATAGCTTTTGAAGTGCCTCAACGTACTGGATATGGTACTTCTGCACGTCTTCCTTGGTCGGATGTTCGATACGGGGCAATATCAGTGCTTCTCCTACGACGGTGATGAGATCCACATCGGTACAAGGCAGAAAGAAGCATTGCGGTAGACCGAAGAAGAGTACCCCCGGTATCTTGAACTCGTTCAGTTTAAGACGAAAGTTAAGTAGATACGGGAAAGTATGATAAGCATACTCCTCGCCGAACGTGTACACTGGATGCACCTTGTATCCGTGTTGCAAGGCCAATTTGATGAATCCAAAGCGTTTCTTGATGTACACACGATGTTTGCCTCGCTCGTAGAGTGTTGCCTCCTCGAATCCTCCAGGGATTAAACACACATTTTGACCCGTGGCCATGAAGCGATGGAAAGTTGATCTAGACACGCAACTGAAATCCATCCAGTTCAACAAGTCCCTCATAACGGGGAACCAAAAGAGGTTCTCAGCTACGAGCCATCGACAGTGTGCATGCAAGAACCCCATGTGGTGTGCTCCGTTGAAGGCGAATCCAGCCGAGAGGACGCCGTGCGGGTGGAAGGCGAACAGCGCGCGATCGTCGGGTTTCACGAATGGCGATAAATCATTTTCTTCAATTGCCTTGGTGGCAATTTCCTTGTTGCAGTGGCCGTCTTCACGAGAATTCTTCGAGTATTTTGCATTCTCATGTTCTTCAAACACCAAGACGTTGAGACGGAAGTATGGGTAATGTAGGAAAACCTGTCGAAAGAAACGCCTCATAAATGGCCACTGGTGCAGCGATGGTCTGGTGAGGTAGTGGTAGCTTTCGTGGAGGACGATAAAGCCCAAGTAAATCTGCGCTGAAAATGGCATCGGAGGAGCATCGTCACGTGTAGCTCGTCTCCAGATCCATTGCGCTAAGCAGAATAGCGAGAAGATCCACATCACGGCGAAAAACAGGAGACCAATGACCCAGAGACCATAGAGAGCCGTGAGGTGGAAGCGGCGCAAGAATCTCCCTCGCAGCGTACGCAACTCCGGACGGGCATCAAAGTCTGGCCACGCAGGCGTACGACCGCAAGCCACATTCGTGAGCCTTGCCATCACTTCGTTTCCACACACAATGGCGAGCTCGACCTTTCGGAGGCGTCATAAAGATCGTTTCGGTGCGTATTTGCACGTCTCTAGTAATTCATGTATCATTTGTCATCTGGCAACATGACAGCCTAATGCACGCACGTCATGTATAATTCGAATTGCTTACCACCTTCTTAAAAACGCTATTGCAGCTGAAAGCATGCCACCCTCTGTGGATATTGCACTTGGTATTTACACTACTTGTTGCACTTGGTACTATTTACACTACTTGAAGTACATGGTACTATAGTATCCAACACGTTTGATTCCATATCAATAAATATCATAATTTATTCACTGCAACTACAGCACATACCGACGCTTGCACTACTCGCAGCGCGTCATTATAGTTTAGACACCACGGTCAACGGCTTTCTAGGCAGTAGAGGCCATGGATGGCGATGTTGGGCGGGCGCTAAAGCCACGCAGCAATGGGTGATGCGCCACTTCCTTCGCACTGAGACGGCGTGACGGCTGCACCTGCAACATGCTCGCCAACAAGTTGATCGTAGGCTTGGAGAACTGTTCCTTGAGGCCCCAGAGCTCCAGGATCTTGCCCACGCCGTATTTGCTTAGCACACGAAAAGTTGGGGCACGGGCGTTGTCATCGGCGAACAGCGGCGAGCCAGTCAGCATGATGAAGAGTAGCACGCCGAGAGACCAGACATCAGCACCCTTGGGGTCGTACACGACCCCCTGCGTCACTTCCGGTGCCATGTAGTAGAATTTGCCTACCAAAGCATCGGAACACTTGTTGGCATTGGCACTGAGGCCAAAGTCGCAGATTCTCACGTGTCCGTCCTTCAGTAGCACGTTCTCCAGCGATAGATCTCGGTGGGCAACTCCAATAGCGTGAAGGAAGCTCAGTCCCTTGGCAATCTGGGCGAACAGCGGCAAAGCCTCAGTCTCGGGGAGGCGTCGATCGGGCTTTGTGGTGACGTAGTCGTAGAGGTCTCCGCCGGCACAGAAGTCCATGGAGATGAAGACACTGTCTCCAACTGTGAAAAAGCCCTCGCGCTCGTACTCCACGACGTGTTCGCGGCCTGGAGCGCGGGAGGTGAGTGGGTCTTCGAGCAACTGGATCACGGCACGCTCACTCAGTGGGTTCTCCTTGACAACATCTAGGGAGCTCTTGTCCTCCTCTTGCAGCAAGGAGATACTCAGACGCTTGAGTACTACGAGCTTCTTAAGTTCCTCGTCCCGGTACAATGCGGTCTCTCCATATAACGTGTCGCGGAGTTTCTTGCAACGGGTATAGCGAGCCAACACATCGGTGGAGGCAGGGGATGTAGTGGTGGAGAGCGCGAAGCTCTCGAAGACCAGCGGGGATTGAATCATCACGGCTTGGGTAGATTGGAGGCGGCTGATGCTAGTGGGGGCAGTCTCCTCCAGGTAGGGCGGCACTAACGTAGTCTCTCTGGCAAATGTGGGGCGCAACTCGGACTCTGCGGTTGGGCTCAAAATTGGAAATGCATTGAGACCGTTGGGTTTTTCATCGATAAACGATTTGGGGAGACAGGGGGCGAGAGACTTGGCAGAGGTGCCTGATAAAGTTGCCGACGGTACTAACCCTGCTTAAAAGGATATATGTTTATCCATCGTCGAAAATAGGGTATGTGTGGAGGAAGTCGAAAATGCTAGCAGTAGTACGGCCGGTAGAATCTAATTGCACGCCCTTATCAGATGGATATAAGTTTTACGAGGTCGGTGGCAAGCCCATCCGCTCCGTCACATAAAATTCGGTTGCTCGTGGACCAGGTTCTGCCCGCTTCAACTTGTCGCGAACTCTTTTTTTCTTGAAGTATCCGATTTTTCACTGGCGCTCAGTATGCCCCAGAAGTCTTGTAAAACGCCATACAATTTCAGTTACGCAAAACGAGCTTGAAGACACTTGCTTTTTATTTACTTTTTATTTTTTATTTCTTACAAATACAAGTAAGGTGTTTTTGCAGGCGAAATCCGCTGCTGCATTGCTTTCAGTTTGGCGCTAGCGCTGTGTAGCTCGTAAAAACGCTGTACCTAGTCCTCCATAGGCGCCGTGCAGGCCGTTCCGCATGGCGGTTCAACCTGCAGGTAACAAACTGCTGTAAACGTGTCAGGATGCTGCCGAAATTGTGGGCAATGCAACTTGCATGGCAAACCTATGGACTCGGCTTGCCCGAGGTTCAATGCCCAAATCGTGGCGCTTATATCCCAACATTGCGTCGCGGATAGTATCCGCCCAAAAAAGAACCCTTTTCATCGGCGTACGTCAGCCGCCCTCGACCAATCGGATCGCGTCGTTTTACTGTGTGTGGCGCGATGCAATGACACCGCAATTGTTTGTTACAAACCAAAGCCGAAACCTTCGAGAAAGCAGAACTCGCTAAATCGCATCAACTGCAGCTACATTGGAATCAGAAAGCGCAACAGAATATTCTATTGAGTCACCGGGTAATACGATAGGCAACTGTGTTAATGATAAGCCAAATATAATCCCAGCAACCAGACTCGCTTCTCTGAAGCAGCGCACTCTAGAACTTGCGTTGACGTGGATTTTCGATTGAACTATTCCAGCGTATGGACACGCCCCTCATACTGTACGTTGATAAGCTATGAACACTTTTTCTGAAAAAAAAAAGTTCTTGGCTTGACTGCTCATAGCTTATGGCCCATAATAAAAAAAAAGATCAAAAGTGGGCCGAAACCAATGCGCACTTTTTTTTTCTATACAAAGTACTTTTTACTCAAAAAGCCATTTTAATGGCTTTATGCGTCCAAAAAAGGGACGCACTACACTTCAAAGTCCCATATCCGGTAGGGACAGCGGGTCTTTTTAGTGGACGTCTCCCAAAAATATCGTTTCTCTAGATTCTTAAAATATTGTGTTGAGATTGCTATAGTCGCCTGATTTGGCTAAAACTGAGATACAGTTACTGAAACCAAGCTAGTTATTAAAGCAGTTGCACAATGAGAGGGTAAAATGGCCCTTCGCTTATTCAGACGTATTTTAATACGTCTGTAGCTATCGTCAGTAAATAGAAGTTATACTGGGAGGCCACTTAACGGTAATGCACTCCATCCATTGTTTGGGACTTCATCAGCAAAACTGAGCCAAATACTGTACCTCACCAGGACCTATTTCCAATCATAGACAGACACAAGACATTGTCTCATGTTTACTTGCATGGAAGGCCTCTACAGAACCTTTATTTGGTGTATTATACAATTTTATAGGTGATCCCAACATTTTGCTTCCTGGCGAGTAATCTGTTTGGATCCCGACGATGGCACGTCTGTGTTTGAAGAAGAAGAGGACCTTGGTCCATGCGAACCGGCAGCCGAGGACTGTGCGACCGCTCCTGATCTTCACTTCGACCCACAAATGCTTGGTTCTGTTGGAGGTGTAGGCGAAATTGCCCGTGGCAACGTGGACAAGGACGTCTTGAAAGACATGAAAGTCAATGGATGGAATAAACCGAAACATGTGACGGTTTATCCTTACATGGATGAGCCTTATGAATCTCGCACTGAGAACTGGATTGAAGATGCCTATCCTGGAATATATACTAGAAAACATGGACCTACCCCAGCAGTGCTCGCTGCTGCAGAGACGCCGCTGGGGGCGTTTTTCCTGTTTGCGCCTCCACACATGTGGGAAAATATTGCCGAAGAGAGTAACGACTACTTCAGACAGAACCTACCAGAGCGAGTGACTGCGCAGCATGCTAATCAGCAAGCGCTCAAGCTAAAGCGACCTGCATTTCAATTCCAGACCCCTGAAAAAATAAGATCTAATCTTGAGCGTCACCTGGCATTTCTGGAAGAGAGCTCTGCGTATTCATTGGACTGCTAATAGCGAGCACCATTGCACCCAAAAAAGAGAAGTTTGAGAACCACTGGAAGACTACAGATGAAGGGGCAATATCTCGAGGATGCTTTAATTCCTTCATGAATCGCGACCGCTCACATCTCGAGAAACCTTCATTTTAGTAGCAATACTGACCCGCGTGCAAATAAGGGCAGACCATGGAAACTACGACCCGTCATCGACGCCCTACAAGACACCTTTCAGAATAACTACATTCCCACACCCGTTATGACTTTCGATGAGGCCATGCTGCCATCAAGGTCGCCTTTTAACCGTATGAGAGTGTATATGAAGGGCAAACCCCATAATTGGGGGACTGAACTCTTCGTGCTGTGCTGCTCAGAAACTGCGTATTGTATTCGGTAAAAGAGACGATGCCTTCGGGCACACTCTTTTGTGTTTGGCTCTAAGTTATCTTATCGTGTCTGATACGATTTTGTACTGTTTTTATTGTGGCTGCTACAGCTTTAAAGTATATTGCGGAAAGCGGCAAATGCAAGCCAACAGTACACCTCCTGATGAAAAATCTGGACCTGCAGCAGTCGTTCGAAACCTTCGTCACGTATTTGGTACGGCTGGACCTACGGATTTCCGGTTAATCGTGACAGATCGATTCTACACCTCCGTGGTGCTTGGTATGCAGTTACTGACTAAGAAGTTCTACAGTATCGGCACTATCATGATGACAAGCAAGGGCTCTGTGAAGCAATACTTCCAGCAAAGAAGAACAACGGGCGTCGAGCCTCCAATAAAAGCCCAACCCATACTGAGAGAGGAACATAGGACGTTGCAACGTCTCTCCACGTTCCTAGCATGAAGGCCATTCGATGGTTCGACAACCACGGAGTGCATATTTTGGCGACAGGAGGAAGCAAACAACAGGGCAGAATTGTGAGAAAAGAGCCGCAAACAGCGATGGAAGCTGAGATGATGGCCCCAAAGAGTGGTAAAGGACTATCAGACGTACATGGGTGGAGTCGACGTACACGACCAGCTTCGTCTCTAAAGGTGATTTAATCTATTGTGTATGTACACGTTTAAATGACTGACTTATCGTGTATATACTTTTACAGATACTTTCTCCAACTCGCCCGGCGCTACAAAAACTACTATAGGGCCTTGTTTCTTGGCCTGATCGATTTGGCGATCGTAACACGTTCATTGTGCACAACGACAGAAGCACTGCAGACTGAAAACCAAAGGCGTCTCATGTAGAGTTCCTCAAGCGTCTTCACCTCGAGCTTATCCAGCTGCAAGCCGAAGACTGGGAGCTTTTGATACACCAACGCGGGTTGCAGCCAACACTTACAAAACGTCGTAGTACCTCCACCGATCACGCGCCCATACAAACGAATGAGTGGCGTAAAGGAAACTCAGAGCAGACCAGGAAGCGCCGCCAGCGTGCCTGCAAAGTCTGCTCGGTGCTGAAGCCGCGCGACCAACCACTGTGGCGTCTACAAGCTCAAAACAGCATCCATACAACAAAATCAAACATATCAGCCAACTTTAAGAGCTAACATGCTTCTTAATCTGGAATAAGCACTGGAAGAACGGCGCGTTGGTTCCCAAACCTGGCGATCAAGCCAGGGGCGGCATTCGTGCACGCAGACCTGCGCGGCTTACTGGAGAAGGCACCTCTGATGCCGCAGATGGTGGTGAGTCCGGAAGTGACGGCAGCAATCAGCAGTAACACAAACACAGTCGTAGAGACGGTGATTAGTGCGCCTGCATATGTTATTTTGACTTAGTTTGAGTAAATTGGATTGCTTGCGATTGCCATGTGTCTTGAATCTCTAAATTCTAAAAATAAAAAGACATGACTTTGACTTGTTTTTTTAAAAAAATAGATACATTTAACAACAATAACGTGTATCGGGGATACACATTTGCGCGATGAATACACGATAGGAAAAAACGTGCAGTAGGCGGGGTAGAAATGTGGCCCGGCTGTGACTGATACATGTTTGCTTTTATATTGACTTGATAAGGATGCCCATCCTGGAGATAAAATCTATCGTGTCTGGGGTTTCGGTAAATAGTCGCAGCCAAAAGGCCTGAAGGGGGGGGGGGGATTAACTTGTTTGGGATTGGATAATGCAGAATTGCAATGCCAAACAAAACTCCAAAAATATTATTTTGGCCAATAATAAGTATACTGGACTATTACCTGTATAAATGCGATTCTATAATTATACGATTTGTTGTGCATGAAATAATGACATATTGGAATACTTTCACAGCATCGGGATAAGCGATTTCGGGTAAACCTCTGATTTTTTTTGTGCCATTCAAAACCCAAGCACACACTGCAACATTGTAATGTCTCGTAAGCCGCGACTGAAACAGAACATGAATCAAGGAATACCTCGCGAACTTCAAGATTTGGTCAGAAGTTTTAAATTATAAGTAATGCTAATTATTAGGTCAATTTTATTGTTTTAGAATCGGATTGGGCCATTAACAAAAGTCATTACTGTAGAAGCCGATATGTTATTGAACAAATCCGTGGTTCACCCGGAACAGCTCTGGATCCAACTTTAGAATGCTTTAAAGAGTCTTTTTACAGTCCTATTCAGTTCATAACTAGAGTCGAAAACTAGTACTTAAAAATTACTAATGGTCAGCTTTAATAAAATTCTTGCCAAATTCTGGCAAGGATAATGGCAATATGAACCATGTTTCTTCATGCAAAATCGGTATTCGCGAGTGGCACAAATTATTAATACTCTCAATTTTATTTTTTCTTCTTTGTTTAAATTTACCGGTATTCATAATGGTAGCTAAGGTAAATTGCCAACTTAATAGCCTCAGGGAGTGGCATGCACAAAAATGTACATAACTTAAAGGGTAAATATCGGATTGAGGTGCGACTTGGGTCATTACAAAGAGGAAGCACTGCGAGAATTTTTAGGCACCGAATGCTTCAATTTTGAGATATGTGCGCCTCTACTTACGAAGGCGATCGATTTAGCTGTGTTGCCAGTTTAGTAGCCCTTTGAACTGGTTTTTACTATGCTTCGATTGCTCAAATGATGGGACGAGCGGAGTCAGGGGTGGGGAAATCAGTTCCTGTCTCATGTCATATTATTAGAAGTCCAACACTAACGGGAGTTTATCAACTGCGGCAGGACCTTCTATCCAGCAATTGACCGATGCCATCGTTCCCTGCATCTCAATTGCAGACGGAATCCCCGCTGCATATTCCGTCTCGATCGTCGGCCGTGGTGGAGTCACTTTGCTCGTTGCTGCCGAAGCTCGCTTCCTTTTCTTTGTGCGCTTACTTGATGCCTCCTCCTCTTCGAGGAGCTTGCGCGTCAGAATTTTCCCTCCAGTCTCTTACTCTTCTTCTTGCTTGTCTTAGGCAGCGGTGGTGGCAAGACCAGTGACTCTCGTTAAACGATATCTGATACGCGAAGCCAAGCAGCTTCACGCTGCAACGGAGGCAACCCATTGCGCTCAAAGTTCACACGCTTTGCGTACATATTCAAACGAGAGAGCGGAAAAATCCCACGACTCTCAATTCCCGCCGTAAGATTGCTCCCTAGGAAGGAATAATTCCAGGCATCGCCGCGACACCCAGAGCCGTTTTCTTGTCGACGGTTCCCTTACCAAACTCGGCAATAGTTTGTCTAAAAGATGCTTCAGGCTAATTTTAAGGGCGAGAAAACTGCCACGTCCAGAGGCGGCAGCAGGTGGGTCCCATTAGTGTCCCATTATGACAACTGGTGGCGGGAAATGGACTGCTTGTCTTAATATTAAGTGCTTCAGGATTTCACACAACATCTGTTTAAGTTTTGGCAAATCACATCTGAAATTGAGTAGACATTCTGTCGGTATTGGTTGAAAATTGAGCGGCTTCTAAACTGACAAAAGCTACTAAATTGACAATTTACCTTACACTTAAGCAACTTCTTGGACTTCGAGCCGAGCAAGTGCTCTTAAATCCGAGAGGATTCGCGGAATCCATCGCAGTTAACTCAAGCAAAACTATTTCTTATCGCATCTCCCGCACCTGCTTCCCAGCCGCAGCATCAGCGTGATGTGGACCTTGATTGGGTATTTTAGATTATTTTGTTAATAGTTTCTACGCAGGCTTATTCGATATGACTTATGTGCTTTATGTTATACGTTGTTCGAATCTATTAATACATCTGTTCGTTACCGGTTTTGGTTTTGCGGTGCGTGTGTTGTTTGGATGTGATGGATAATTTATGGCAGGTAGCATTGTCCTCTGATAGGTTATTTAAAATAGAAGGGAATGGACGCCTTCCAAATTAGAGTAAGCACCCGATATACCTGTAGCAGATATGGCAGGTTTTACCAACCTGTATGTCAACTTAATTTTGTTTTGCCCCACCACAAATCTAGTACCCTGGTCGGTGCACAGTGTCTCCTCCGCAAGAAGATACTAGAGTTTATTAGCGGTTTTATCTATTGCAGCAATTTCAATTGGGCTAAACTCTTGCTGAATCTTTCCAGATTCTGCTTGAAGCTCGGCACTTCCCCTTTAGAGACGTTCACGAACAAGATTCACGAGGAGGACGATGACATCGACGTGCTGCTATTGACCGCCGTACAGACGCGGCGCGAAGCTAGTTTGCGCAGTGTCCGCCGTGAAGTGCACCAGCAAATGATAGAGAGCGCGTGGCGCGGTGCAATGCGCACACGTCACTACTTGACGGTGTCATGCATGGATGTACCCTGCGTGGCCGTGTGGATGGCCCTTTACAAGAACGGCCTCGACAAGAACTTCATAAACGCTACCAGTCTCACGAGGTAGGCTTTTTGAGTTGTGGATACTGTTCGTTCTATTTGTAACAACTGATTTTATTTACTACGCAGAGCTGCCTTCAAAACGCTACTTAGAAGACTCGCGCGCTTCTACCACCTTCCTTCGGGTAGAGGTCGACCCCCGAAGCTACGATATTACCATCAAGATCTAGGCCTTGTACTTTGCTTCTACGTGGGTTCAATGGAGAACTCTACACAGTGCATGCTGTTCGGAGCTCCCCCTAGCACGTTGTCGCGCTCGCTACGCGCGGCCGAAGAAGCGCTATCGCGTGCCCTTCCGGAATTCTCTCTTGCACGTATTTGATGGCCGTCGCCGTCTCGACAGAGAGAGCTGGCGGTGATGGTCAATGCCCGTGAGCCGCTGTTGGAACACACTTTCGGGCAAGAACTCCCGTGTATATCTCTATACTGACAGTCATTATCTCTACTTACCAATTAATATGACAACGTTGCTGTCTACATGCTTCAGGTACAGCAACCATCTAATACTGACTACAAAACGCAATGTATAACGGATGGTTACACTCCGTTCTGGTCACTGATATGATCTGCTTTGCCGCCGATGGGTGCATCATCTGGTCCAAGCATAACTGCCCTGGATCATGGAACGATTCCGACACCTCTTTGGGATTTCGCATGAAGCTACTAGACCCTGCTTACTGTCCGGACGAACGGATGAACGTCGTGTCAGATTCGGCGTTTCCCTGCTCCACGGCGATGACTGGAAGGACATTAACGCCGTTGAAGGACGGGGATCTCGAAAGGATTCAACCGGCGCTGCGAAGCTCCGCGCGCACACTGCACAACGCCATCACTTCGGTAAGGCAGGCTGCGGAGTGGGGCATGGGTAGCGTACAGAAGGTTTACAGTCGCTTGAACCTGCCGCTGCCCTACGACCCGAAGCTCCGCGGATTGCGACTAAACATTCTATTTCGGATGGCAAATTACCGAGTTCGCACGGTGGGCATTTCGGAAATTCGAACGACGTTTACGGGCGCGATGGAGATTTCCCTGTTGCCCGGGAAGTGGAAGGTGTATTTGAAGAACATTGGCTAAGTCCATTTGCATGAGTAGTTTCTCTTCGAGTTGAAAACGAGCGGAGATGACGGACAATCTGGATCGTGTTTGTGGCTTTTTTGCTCTCTACGAAGGGCTGTTCTCAACATGGAACGCTACGATGTGGATTTCCTCCCTCTGTGGGCTGGTTTCTGGGATAGACTTCTAACGTGAGAAACCCTGACCGCAGACATTCTCACTCCTCCTTTACAAGAGCCCCAATAAAGACATAAGCTCCCGCGAGCGCGCGCGAGCTTCCTCCTTATCACGACGTGCTCGCTCTTCCATCTCCAGCTTCTCCTGGCGGCGGCGTTCTTCAGCTTCCAGTCTCTCGGAGTGGTACCGTGCTTCGCGAGTTGAGACGTCGTCATGTCGGCACTGCTCTTCCTCGGCACGTCGAGCTTCACCTCTGCGGTCGCTTTCATCACGCGTGAGGATCATCAACTCCACAATAGCGCTCCCTATGGCGCTGGGCCCGGTTTCTAGGTCGTTAAGGCGTTTCTTCAGCTGCGTTGTCGCCTTGGAAGCTTTTACTCTCTTCACCTTGGCGTAGCTAGCCTCCGCCAGGTCGTCGTCGTCGTCTGCATCTCGCTTGCGACCAATGGTGTTTCGGAAGACAGCCAGATTGCCCCCGCCAAGCCGGTTGGAAGACGAGAGGTATTGCCTCGACTCCTCTGTGTCACGAGCGCGGGTGGAAGGGGTTTTCTCAGCAGCGCTTGATGCAACGGGGTTACACGCAAGTGGCTACATGTAGCCACTTGATTACGACAATGGGTTTCACATTGGTGTGAGATACACCAATGGTTACATTTGTCAGACCACTGGTCTGTGTGCATTAGACTTCCTATTGGTTGAAAGGCGGCCTCTTTCAACCAATTAGCTTAGCAGGATTCTGCCAACCACTC